GTGTGTGTGTGTGTGTGTGTGTGTGTGTGTGTGTGTGTGTGTGTGTCCTTCCCTGTTCCCTCGTGATGGAGGTCCAGTTGGGATAGGTCTCTCTTTTTTTTCATTTAGGATTAAGGACCTACCCCACCCGGGGTAGGTCCTCCATCCGAACCAAGCCAATTTTTTGGCTATCACACACACATATGTGCGTTGGCGTTCAAAAAAATACAGTCTGACAATCGCGAGTGTTGGTAGGAGTGTGGGTGGGCTATATTTTAAATTTCTGTATTTTTTCTTTAAAAAAACGGTGTTGTGGTTTTATATTATCTTCTTTTTAGTTTTCTTTATTTTTTAAGGGTTGTTTTCTATTATTTATTTTAGTTAGTTCTTATTTTTATTTTTATCTTTTAAGGTTTTTAACTATTCTTTGTTTTTTTTTTTTGTTTTTTTTTTATTATTATCTTTTTATATATATATATTTTATATTTATATTTTTGATTTTTGATTTTTGATTTTTTATTTTTGATTTTTTATTTTAATAATTTTTTTGTTATAGTTTGTTATCTAGACTTAGCTAACGTATTAAATAAGGACATCATTGTTTTAAGGAAGTCATTATATATATCAAAAAATGTTTTTTTTTTAAAAGAAGGTTAATGTTTTATCTAAGCGGTTCTAATGTTATATGTGTATGTGTGTGTGCGAGTGTGTGTGTGTGTGTGTGTGTGTGTGTGTGTGTGTGTGTGTGTGTGTCCCTCCCCGTCCCCTCGTGATGGAGGTCCGGGTGGGGTAGGTCTTTCTTTATATATAAAGAGGATTTAGGACCTACCCCATCCGGGGTAGGAACCTTAAGACCAGTTTCTGAGAGGGTTTGTTGTGTGAGTTCTCCACAGTGGGTTTTAACGACCTTGATTAGCGCCTTGAGGATAGCAGCTGCTAAGTCGGCCAGGGGGGAGGAGATGACATCTGCTGCGTTAGTCAGCCATCGGAAGGAGTTTTTGTGTTTCTTGTATGTGGCAAAGAGATAGGGTAGTGTTCTTTTACCGATCGGGAGGTCTGGGGATGCGGCAGTAAGTTGTTCTCCTTAGTAGGCAAGTAGTTCATTGGCAAAGGCGTCGCAAGGTTCGAAGTCTGGACTCGAGAGTCTTTTCAGTGCTAGGAATCTGATTAAGTTTATGCATGTGATGACGGGTGTGTTGGGTGCTTTGTCAACCCCGAATATGTAAAAGTGCTTGGTTAGGAATTCAATTTCGTGTTTAACGGCGTAGCTGTGTAGGTTGATTTCTCTATGTGGTTGGCAATCAACAGCGGCAAGTTTGACAATTTTAGTGAATTTTGCAAAGGCTTCTTTTTTATGGTTGTCAGAGAACGGGAAGCCATGTTTTTCCAGCGTGTCTGTGAAGTTTTCCCATACTTGGTTGGTTGCTACAGTGATGTTTTTTTTCTTCGGTGTTACCGGGGGAATGTGGTTTAGACCGTTGCGGATGCTTGTTTGGAGCTCCTTGTTGGTAATTATGCAAGGGTCCAGTGTGATGACGTGTGCTTCTTCTTCTTGTGGCAGGAGGTTAAGAGGGAGTTCATTACTAAATTTTACGAATCGTTGCTGTTGGCAGAAGCATCTGTTATGCAGCGTGTTTAGCCATTCGCCGAGTTCAAAGTCTCGGAAGAAGGAAGCTGGTTTATATAGTGCTTTAGCTATGTGGTCATTGTAGGTCCATGAGGACGTGCATGTGTCCAAGAGAGAGACGACATTGGGGTTGTGTTTTTCTAGGATTCTCTCGAAGATTTTTTTGAATTTCAGTCTGTCCATTAATCGATTTGGGTAGTGGCAGGGTATTATGATTTTATTATTATGTCTGCTGGTTTTCCAACCAAGTCTTCCATCCTCCATTATCTGTAGCCGGGGGCCCTGCACAGAGAGAAAAAAAGAGAGACAATCAGCAGCCATGTAGCAGTGTGCTTAGTATGCAGATTTCGGGTTTTGAGTGTCGGTGTATAAGGTAGGGGTGGTGGTGGGGAAGGGGAAGGGGGGTGAGATTGGAGTTGCGCCCATGGGTATTCTTATTGGGGAGTTATAGGTTTGCAGATAGTACAGACAGGGTTGTGGTTGGAAGGCAATGTGCGGGTCAGGGGACAAGTGGTCAGAGTCTGGGCAGATGTGGGAGCAGAGCTTGGTTAGGGGGTTGGTGGGCTGCAGGAATTGTGTGGCGTTGGGTTAAGGGGGCAGGGGCATGCCATGTCATGTGGAGTGATGGATAAGCTTCAGAAGAGCAGTAATTATTAGTGATAAGGCTTATTTATCAACCAATTGGGGGAACCAATTTATAACTACCAGATGATCCAGTTACTGGGTCAAATCTATCTGCAGGGCAGTTACCATAATCGGGTGCATGGTTACCAATCGGTTGTTATGTGCCGCCGAAACCTAGAACTAGGCTACCTCAGGAGTAAGTTGGCAATTATGGCTCATAGGTGAATACACTATGGTGAGGGAGTTTAAGGGCATTCCGAGTTGTCTTATGGCTAACGGTAGTTTGCAATATAGTGGGGAACCAATCAAGCAGGGTGTCTAGTAGTCAGGGGACGAGGGGTTTGGCTACTTCTAACTGCAGGGTAGTCGGCCAGTCCCATCAAAGTAATGGCCTATGAAATGCTCAGTGCAAAAACTTAGCTAGGCGGTGCTAAATCAAGACTTATCACTGAGAGGTCAGCACATCTATAGTCTTTATCGTAGCTATTAGTGGGTTGAGTTCCATATTACATGTCAGAGCTATCATGGATCATACTGGAGACGTGGGAGCAGAGCAGTCCAAATACTTCTAGCTCCTTGTGATACTTGTAGTGCCAAATTGATAGTCCGGACTGAATCTGCGGCAGACTCTCTTCCAGGTTTCTTCTGAAGTTGGTGATTCGATGTCGAGATTTGTCTGATCACTGGAAGCACGCAGAAGGGAAGAGTCGGCACTGCTGGCACCGTAGTTGTGTCTCAGAGCTTTGATTGCCGAAGTCGATCGTAGCGGCGTATCTGGAGAAGGCGAACTGATGGTGATCGGTAGCTGCGGCCTTTCCCCTTCGCTAGCCTCATTGCTGCTGATCTGTATGATTTCTGGGTTTGCCTGTGCCGATTGCTGTCCAGGAATACTTCCGTCATCAAGTCTCTGCGGCCGCTGGTGGAGCAGTTGTTCAGTGGGTGGAAGCCATTGCGCGCGATCTGTGGTGAAATTGCTGCTTGGCAAGGTGCAGTAGCTGCAGTTGCAGGATTGCTGTGTAAAGTGGTTGGTGGCAAGGTTTGCGAGGGTGGCAGATGAGTTGTAGAGAGGTTTTGCCGCTATGTTTGGGCATAGAGGACGTCATGCATGTCTGCCTGTCGGAGATCATACTGCGGTTGGTTGCGTTTTGCGCGCTTTGACCTCTGCTTGCTGTTTTGCAATGGTTGCAGTCTGCTTGTCTTGTTGCCTCTTCGGGTATTGCTTCTTTGCGTGGTAGGCAGTGGATTCATGGCGATGCTCAACAGTTGCTCTCTACGTCTTGCAAGTCTGTCTGCTTCTGTCGTGCAGTAGGTTGCGGCTGGGCCGAGTATGGTGGTGTGGCTGATGGGTATGTGAGTTGCGGGTGTGGGGGTTTGGTTAGGTATGTAGCAAGTGTCTGTGCTGGCGGTTCTTTGTATGTCGAAGAAGGGGTTTGGATGGCTAGTGTCGGGGGCAGTGGGGGTGGTGTGTTTGGCGGCATGCTGTGCTGCAGCAAGGGTGAAGGCATTGATTTGCAGGTGGGAGGTTGTACAAGCAGGGATGGTCTGGTGGCTTGGCGAGGCGAGGGTGGGGGATGGTTGTGTGCCAGTTTGCAGGTTTGGTCGTGTTGCGGGCTGGTTGCTGTGTGTGGCGGTTGCAGAGGCGTGCTGTGAGGAACTGCTGTTTTGGAGCGTGTGTTCTGCGTGTTGTATGTGTGCGTTATGCATGCCTTCTTCCAGTTGCTTGTCATGGCTGAATGTCGATCAACAGGTGTTGGTTGCCGTAGCGTGTCAGGTGTAGTGTTGGTGGGAGCAGTGTGTGGTCTGGAGGTAGGGGTGGGTGTGGCAAAGCAGTGTATCGGTGTGCCTATAGCAGCGGTGCTTGGTGTGCGTGATCGAAATTGTTGTGAGGGTGTGTGTGCAGCGGGTGGGCTAGTGGCGGGAGTATCCAGTCGCATTTGTCGACATTTGCAGAGCGAGTTGTCTTCGTAGTCAACTATGTTGCTCTTCTGCTGTTCGTTTGCGTAAGTAAACCCTCTGCATTGGGGAAGAGCGCCGCAGTGAACTTGTGCACGAAGGGGACGTCCTTGAAATTTTTGAAGTTGAGGATCTCTTCCACGGTGATGGTCCTGCTCTGTATGATGAGGTGGACGATCTTCATCATGTACTCCCTCATGAAGAGGAACGTGATCTGCGCCAGGATTGGTTTTCTCTAAGATGTGCGTAGCAGGGCTTGGAACTCGAGCATTCTAATCTTGTTAGAGGGCGCTTGCGGGTCCAGCTTGTCAAGGTTGTCGATGACGTACCAGAGCATGTGATCTAGTCATGTGAAGTTGACTTCAGAGCCTGTGCATGCACAATTGAGGATTGGTCTCCCGACATTCCACAACTTCTTGAGTTCTAGCAGATCTGCAAGGAATCTGGGATCCCTTTCTGGTGCAGTAGTGGCTTCTTTGGACATTTACCTTTCTCCAATTTGGAGAGCGGTGGGAGGTCTGCATCGAAGCCGGCCCTTCCTGTAGGGAAGTGGATGGTGTCGTCCCTAGCCGCAGTTCGACAGTTCTCTATATCTGCACTGCTAAGCCCTGTGAGCGCCATGTAAGCATCAACGCTGATTGGTGCAGTGTAGTTGAACGTGTTTAGTTTCGATAGTCTATTATGCACGCGTTGAACAACCTTTTCAGTCCACGTGCTGGATGCAAGGGGCAGAGAGATGGTTAACAACAGACACTATTTACAGGTCACTTTCATCCGCTTCAGGTCCCTACCTGAAACTCCTGAAATGACCTGAAATGGCTGAAACTTCTGAGAGGGGTTTCAGGTACCCCCATCCAAATGGTTGGATAGGGATACCCGAAACCCCTTTCAGAAGCTTCAGCCACTTCAGCGGTTTCAGGTCCCCACCTGAAATTTCTGAAATGACATTTGGATGAGGAGTACCTAAAACCCCTTTCAGAAGATTCAGGCACTTCAGCGGTTTCAGGTCCCTACCTGAAATTCCTTAAATGACCTGAAGTGGCTGAAGTTTCTGAAAGGGGTTTCAGGTACCCCCATCCAACCATTTGGATGGGGGTACCTGAAACCCGTGTCAGAAGCTTCAGCCACTTCAGCGGTTTCAGGTCCCCACCTGAAATTCCGGAAATGACCTGAAGTGGCTGAAAAAACAGGCAGAAAAAAAAAAAAAAAAAAACATAAAACTTGTCCTCCAAACCACCCGAAACTTCTTAAATGACATGAAGTGTCTTCAGGCCATTTCAGCGGTTTCAGACCACTTCAGAACCTTTCATTCTGAAATTTCAGGTGGTCGTTAACCACGAGTGAAGGAGCAGGAAAGGGTTGTTCTTGCCGAACTTGTGGGTGGTGTCTCTAGCCACAGTGGAGATGTCGAAGTGTGCGTTGTCCCTTCTCAAGGCCTCCTTCTTTTGAAGTATTCAAGTTCCGCAGGTGTCGGCACGATGCTGTTGATGTACGTATCAGGAAAGGTTTCCGTTCTCTGATTAGTAGAAATTTGTCCTGCGTTGTCGAGATGTGAAGTGTCATAGCAGTGTAGCTTGAGGATAACTTTCTCTGCTTTGGCGACGATGAGGTTCAACTCCCTGTTCTCGATGGCTGACTTCTTGCAGACATCTACGATGTTGGCGGCAAGCTCCTTGATCTTGTCGGCGAGTTTGTGGGGTTTGGTCTGCATTACTGCGACCATGGTAGCCCAGTCACTGAATGACAAGTTCTCTATTAGGAAAGGAACTTGTCCGTTAGTAGCCTCGTGCACGTGCAATAGGACGTCTGCAGGAATAACCAACATGGTTATCTGGGAGTGTACAATGGGTGGTATAAGAGTAGAGAATGGCCTAATGGCGGAGACCAATTCTGGATGCCAACCCATAAGGATACTGTCCTGGTCCTGCACAGCGTAAGATGCGCGTACGGAGTTCGCGTACTGATGTTTCGATTATTTTTTTATAAGACAAAAAAAGGGGGGCGTTTTTTTTAACCAAACAGAAGAGCTGTGACTATTAGGCATGCTCAGAGGGTGGGTGGATTGCTTGGTTAGATCAGAGAGAGGGAGCGTGTGAGAGCAAATAGCTACACCGTGTTCTTGTCTTGGGGCTAGGTCGGGTTGCAATGGTTAGTGTGGGCGACCGAGCTGTAGTAAGCAGTATGTCATGGTAATTAAAGTTTTGATAGGAGAAAAGTTGAGTTGGTTTTAAATTGTTGTGCTGCAAGGTTGCAGATGTAGAAGGGAGGGGGGGGTGTAGGGATTTTTTTAACTCTCGGTTGTTAGGTTGGTATTTTTAATTTTTATTTTAATTTTAATTTTTATTGTGTATTATTTAATGATTTTTTGTTGACCGGGAGTAGTTATCTTTTATACATCGGTTTTTATTTTTACGTGTGGAATTGTGTATTGCGTTCGACTTTCAGTCAGAATGGGGTTTATCTGTACCAGACTCATATACTCTTGTTATTTTACTATTCTAAGGAATTTGGTTTTTTAGAGAGTTTGATAAACTATTGTTATTTCATATTTTATTATTGTTTTATATGTATGGTAGAGTTGTTTATAATTGGTTTGGTGATTAAATTATTTGAATATTTTGGGAGGGAGTGTGGGTAGGAGGTGTTTGTTTGGTTATTTCTTTCATATATGCAAGATTTATGTGAGAGGGCGTGGGGTGTTAGTTCAGTTCTTGTTAGTTAAAGAAATGAACTTTTAGTTTCTCTTGGTTGTGGATTAGTGCTACTAGGACCATATTATCGTGTTCGGGAATTGGATGAGTTTATGGGTAGGATGCTAAGTAAGCGGGTGAGATTGGGGCCGTCCGTGATGTGTGCTGAGTAGTGGAGCAGGAGATCGTTATTTCGATTGTATTATATCCCGCGTTTTGTTTTCTAAAGAATATTATGGCTTTATCGTTTGTCTATTATTATTTTGATTATAAGTATATGTGTTTATATAGGTTTGGTCATTACGCTGGTTATTCTTTATTAATTGTAAAAAACATATTCAGGTTGTGGTGGGGGAGCAATGTGTTGTTAGCGAGCTTGCTATAGGGTTTTTTCTTATATTCGATACCCCATACTTTTTTATCTTGTTTTATTTTTTGGTATGTGTTGTTTTCTTGTATTTATTATGTATATATTTTTTGTTTTTTTGCTTTTTTTTTTTATACACGAATACACGGCTTCTCTTTTTCAATAATGCCGAGAAACGGGCCCGACGTCCCACACAAAGCTTTAACAGCCGCAGACTTGCTCCCTGCTACTCCAGTCAGGTGCAAGTCCAACCTGCAGAAACAGAACGAAATGCAACCATTCAACCAGCTACGTAAACAAAGTTAAAAACAACGAAATGCTAGCCTTCCATAAACCTACTGCCTGCAAGACCAACAGATCCAACAAAGCAAATCAAAGTAAACAGCCTAGTAACATAACCTATTTTCTATTAGGTTACCAAGTTCGTCATTCGGAACAGACACTATTTCTTATTTTTCATGGTTCGAAACAAACACTATTTCTATACTTAAACTGAATCACAGGAGATATTAGATACAACACCATTTCTACAATCATTCAAAACGATAATCCTATTGTCTCCAAGAATTAAAACAACGGCAAACGTAGAAGAAGCTACAATTTCGCCAACAAAACAATAACAAACAACTATTTTTATCCATAACTGAAAACAACCTGGAAAACCCTAGTAAACATAGTTCCTATTATCCACAAGAAGCACAGGAGCCAACCAACGTAGAAAAACCCCCACGTTCATCACAATTACTAGGAGAACACAATTCCTATTATCTACAAGGAATAGAAACAGCAACAAACGTAGAAGAAGCTATAGTTTCACCAAAGAACACTAACAAGTGACTATTTCTATCATCAATTGAAAACAAAATTACAGAAGGCAGCAGTGACTCACGCAACCTAGGAAATCCTAAGAACATGGTTCATATTCACAGGAGATAGCGGTCGCTAGAAATAACAATTAAACAACAATTGTTTAAGGTGGAGATATCGGGCTTAATATTAAGCGGACTTGATATTGAGCGGGAGTTCTTGAACTCTCTCGACGAATCTGACCTTCCACCTCACAAACTGCGCTTAAAAATTGGTGCGCCTGTGATGCTTTTGCGAAATTTGTCACTGAAACAAAGATTTTGCAACGGTACAAGGTTGATTCTGAAGAAGATCGTTAATGATGATTTGTTGGAAGTGACAATAATGCACACGAGTAAAACAACACTGATCCCCAAGATTAATCTGACCAGCGATGGTGAGACAACTTGGTTCAAATGGTTTAGGAGGCAATTTTCAATCCGTCTTGCTTTTGCAGTAACGATTAACAAGTCGCAAGGAAAAACTGTATCATATGTCGGGGTTTGACTATGAAACCGGTCTTTGTGCATTGCCAACTGTACGTTGCTTTGTCGCATGTTGGTCATCCAAACAACATCCGTGTTGTGTTGCCTGATAATTTTTTTTAATGAAGAATATTATATATCATGAACTTTTGGGATGAGTCCTTCTTTTATTTTTTATCGAGGCTTGGCATTCCAAATAATTCTGTCATATTTTTTCTTTGCAGGCGACTCCCGAATCCCGCATAAGTACGACACTCGTGCTAAGAGGAAAGCAATGAGAAACAACAATACCACTCAATATGATACGAATGTTACGTCAAAAGTTGGAGCTGAACATTCGGAGAGGTCGAAGAAAAGTAGAAATGATGAGAGGTCGGTGAATCTTGGAAGTGAACATCCTCGGGACGATCATTATGTTCTTGGTGAGGTTGAATGTCGATGTTCGCAAGCGAATACCCTTAATGATGCTGAGAACATGGTTGTGGAGGGGGGTGGTGACGATTGTCGTGTTGATGGGGATGGTTCGCAAAGAGGTCAGTCGGGTAGGCCTATTAACCTTATATTTATCGATGATGAGGATGGTAACGTTACGGACGATTCGAAAGAAGACTGTTGAATCTACATTCAAGAGGAGAAAGAGTTGTGGTGCGAAAACTAATCTTTTGGATTCCCCCGAAGTGTTGGAGTCTACCTTGGCTAATAATCAGGTGGGACGACAACCTGTTGTTGATGAAACAGGGACTCAGATTATCCTGATGATGCACTTTCATCGCTTCCGTTTTGTGCACCGCTCGCTGGATGTGCACGTGTTCATGATTCGAGTTCACAATCTCAACGCAGTGGACGCGAAAGAGATGTTTGCGCCACATCACAACCACAAAATCCTCTGGGGGTTATTGTGGTGCCCGATGATAACGATGCACCCACAATCCGCACTCCGAATCCGCGCGCTTACCTTGCTACATGGTTTGACAATGCGAAGAAGGTTGGCATCCAAAATGTCTTGACTGAGGTGCTTTTTGAAATGTTTGTCAAAAGTGCCACAGTCGTAAAAGATGGACGAATATGGGACAACTTCCTGGATTGGAAAAAAAACAAACTCACTGATATACGGTTGGAACGACAATTCCATCTGCCCTCAAATCTGTTGAATGTTTCAGATTTGGAGGCTTCTTCCATATTGCAATCACTTTTGACCGATGAGTTTGTGACTCTCTCTAATGAGGAGATTATTAGGATGACATTAGATTTGCCACATTGTTCGACATAAGGGACTATTCCCCAACCCTTTCATAGATATGCACGGATACAACAACTTCTCAAAAGGATTCCTCCCGTGGTTGCTTCTTCCACTCCTCATTCCGCTCCGGTCCGTAAACCCCCCCTTCAAGCAGCATCTCCTCTCAATTTTCAACATCTTGCGGATTATGCTTCACCCTCCAATATGTCAACGTCGATTGTCACTACTTCTGTTGTTGTTTCTGCTTTGTCGGTCGCTACAGCTACCCCGTCTCCTGTCAGTTGTGTTGTGCTCGCTTATACGCCATCAAGAGACCATCTGCATGTCCATACAGGACCATTGGAACAACCAAGTTCTTCTAATTTTAACATTACCATGTATGACTTTGTTGAATCTATTGGTCCGAAAAAAACACTTGCTCACCTGTCGTATCTTGACAGTTCTCACAGGGTGCAAGATATTGTGGAAGCAGCAGTGGAATTGAATACGAGTATGAACACTTGGAGATGTGTGGATGCTGCAATTCATCTCGATCACAATCGACAAAGACAGGCTCGATTCAAAACTTCCGAGGAGTATCGTCGTAAAGTGTTGCAACGAGTTTTTGTTTGTGAGTTGTTGCAAGAGTGTCGTTTCTTGTGAATGAAGTTGATTGGTCTTATAAGAGAGATAGGAAGACAAATATGTTGATTGGTCAGTTGTTCAGGGGTTGCCCTAATGAGAAATCTTTAGATGATCGTCTTAGGTTTCAGTTACGTAATTGCCCCTACAAGAGAGATGGGAAGGGAAAAACAAATAAATAAGGGGGGAAAGAGAGAGAGAGAGAGAGAAAAAAAAAAAAATAATAATAATTTTGACGTAATATTATTCCGCTTTTTTAAGTCAATATTGATTCCACTACTCAAAATTTGTGCCTTGATCATACTGCTGTCACTTGCTTACTTAAATTAAACGAAAAATCTTCATATCAAACTTCTTTTCTTTTTATACTCGTGTTCGTTTTTTTTATTCTTTGTTCTTTCGTTG